TATAAGTAGTATTGTGTAATGAACTCGAACCATTGTGTATTTAACTCAAATTTTGCCACAGTAGGCTCCATTCTTAACTATGGGTCATCTGTAAACTGGGAATTCTTAACCCGGGGATTACCTGTATTCGCAAGTTCGGCTCAGAACTTGTGTCATGCATCTCATATTTCAGGAAAAGAAAGTGTAGTGCCACTACTACCATACCTTCTTCCTTCTGCTAGCTTGTTAATCCTTTAATTTGCTATTCTTCAATAAATTCAGTTACATTCAAGCATACACTTAGGCAATCCACTACCAGACATAACAACAAAACGTACTGCTCCTGACATGCTGTTTTTCAGGCTCGTCTAGGCAAGCGTGAATTTGGCTGAAGTGTCTCAGACACTTGAAACAGCATAGCTAGAAACTAAATATTGTAACTCAGGAACTGATAGTCACTGAGTGACATGTGTCTAATTCAGAACTTATATCTCATCTTGATTCAAATCCAGTGTTCTCTTTTCCCATGATTCCTTCTACGTAATGGGCTTTTTGTCTTCCATTTTTCACTCTCAGTTGTAAGTGGCAGGTTTGCCTGTTTACATTCTCTACATCCTGCTCTGAGAATCTCTTACCATTAATGGGCTCTTGATACCATTGAAGACACTACATTTATTACAATCCAAACTTCAGTAGTATATTAGACACTAAGCTGAAGGAGAAGGACTAGTTGAGTCAGCTGGACTCAGCAGCCTAAGCTGCACAGTTTCTGGAACTTAACTTTGACAGTGAATTTGAATCCAACAACTGAAGGGATTTTGAAACTGAAACATACAAAGCTTAGATCAACAAGCTAGAACCCCCAGTGACTTTTTCTCTCTAGGCTATAAAAAGTCAATTTGACTCCTGATGATTTCATAAATGGGGCAACAATATGGAAGGGGTTTCCCGTTACCATATTCTGGGATTTTTTTCCCCTTTCATTTCCAGTCTAGCCCACAGCCTTGGTATTTCTTGTTGGTTTCCCATCCAAGTACTAAACAGGACTAACTTTACCTGATCAGGATCAGTCTGATTCCTCTGGGTTGTAAAGATACAATAAAATAAAAGTCCAACTCCAAATGAAAAGAATACATTTAGTGAAATTCTATGTAAAACTGACCACAGTTGGTTAAAGAAAATGGTACTAAAATAACACTGGGAACTCCCTGTGGTTTTCTGCATAGGGGGAAAACTATTTGAATGTATTTTCTTTTCAATAGGGTATAAAGAACCCATTCAGATTCTCAATGATGTCATTGCCCAGCTAGATGCCATTGTCAGTTTTGCTCACGCATCAAATGCAGCACCAATACCATATGTGCGCCCAGCTATTCTGGAAAAGGGGCAAGGAAGAATTATCCTGAAAGCTTCCAGGCACCCCTGCATTGAAGTTCAAGATGATGTTGCTTTCATCCCAAATGATGTTACCTTTGAGAAGAGCAAGCAGATGTTCCACATCATTACTGGTGAGACTTCATTTTTATACCATATTTATGGTCTTTTCCCCTCTGCCCCACTGTCTTTTGAGTTGCAAATTTTTATGAAGATGCTTTTAAAAGGCTTGAAGCTTTGCCCTTAAGCAGACAGAAGAAGATAGTTTAATAGTTGTTCCAAAAGAGTATTTTGTGTTTAGGTAGGCAGTCAATTTTAGACTCTAGAGGGAGGCATTTTCATGCAAGCCTAATGCACCCAGATTTCACTTTTGAAGAGGGAATTGATGCACTGCTGCTCTCCAAATTAGTGGGGGTGATTTTCATGATATGCAAACAAAGCAATAAACATGGAACAGCTGTGGCTGCCTGGGTGGTGGTTGTGCTTTCTGTGGAAAAAGTCTGGAGCAAACCCACAACCTCAGTTTGTTCCCTCTTCTTGCTTGTTTTGTTCCTCCCCCTCATTTCCTCTTCCAGGAAGTCCCAAATAGGAGTAACCTTCCCCCGCACCAGCTCAGTTGTAAATCAGTGTTTTTTTATTTATTGTTTTCTATAGCAACTCTTCAGATTTAATGACTCATATTTTGAAAATGATTGATTTGGAGGACTTTTTAACCTATAAAATATTTTAGAGTTTTTAGCTGAGGGATATGTAAGCCAGAGCAGAGGTGACCAGTTTGGCCCTTGATTGTTCCATTCAATTCTAGTGTATCCCTATATATTTGAAACATCCACTCTCCTTTATTTTCCTGTGAGAAAGCCAGACTTCTCCACTTCCCTGTAGAATACTATCTCAATGAAGTGCCCAGGTAATTTTATGGTGCTTTCATCCACACCAGAGGTTTTAATTCCCTCCCATATAAATAGGCACATGGAAGTCTGAAGGATGCACCATAGGTTATTGATCACATTCTCAGTTCTTCGCTAGGCATTTCCCAGCCTCTCTTTTCCCACAACACCTTTGGTGAAACAATTTTGCTGTGATTTTATAGTTGCTGGTGGAGAACTTTTCTCTTTCCCACCAACTGGACATACTTACAGTATCCCAGCATTTGCAAACTCTTTTGGTGAATTATTCTTCAGATTTAAGGTAAATGTATGATGATTTCTTGGCAACAGTATAAAGATGGTCTGCCACTGCTGCCTTCTGAGATGTTATTTCAGTTTTCCAGTCTAACTTACAGTAATTGATTCTGTATTTTGTTTTATTTTAAAAAGAAACTGACCATTTCTAATTTTGACTTATTTCTTAAATGTAAGTTTATTTATGTTTGTGTGGGGAGAGAGGATTACATAGGCCAAGGCTAGTTTTTTTTAGTATTCATTAGTTTCATGGAGTTTGCACAAAATCCTTAAAAAGAAAAATTCTGCCCTTTTTGCGGAAAACCCATATGTTTGATTATCTCTGTGTTCAGGCATAATCACATGAAGCTGTAACTCCAAAATACACAATCTGTTTTTCTTCATAGAACTAAAAATGCAGACTCCCATTTGTCACACTTCTTCCAAGCCAGACGGTGGGCAGGGAGACCTCTTACCTCCTAGTTAATCTTGGTAGAGCTATCACTTTTCATGCATCAGTTGGTCTTGAACCAGGAGGAGGCAAATGGGAGTGAGCAGCAGAAGCTCATAGTAAGAAGAGGGGCAATGCCAAAGGTTGTGTTGCTTTCAGTGCTGGGAAAGTAAGTCCTTTTGCCACTGTCTGCATTTGGGTCATGAGTGTGAGTCAGCAGGAGAGTCCTGACACTCAAGCTTTGTTTATTCAGAAATGTTGCCTGTTTTAAAGTTCAGTTGCTTACTAGACCTTTGTGCAAGAGCGAAGTACCATTGGTCCTCCAGATGCTCCTGAGCTACGGCTCCCAGCATTCTTTACCACTGGCCACGTTGGCTGGAGTTCTGGGAGCTCTACTTTCTGGGCAGGGGACATAGGCTTTCTATCCTCTAGGCTTAATAGGCAATTATCACTGCAGATGATAGCAGATATTTTAGTCTGTAGAAACTAAAATAAGGGAGATGCCTCAATAAGCAATAATTGTGACATATTTCAAAAGAACTGCAACATTTTCCAGCTAATTCTCCCCTTGAGGATGAGGAATAGGTTGAGTTGCTAATTGAAAAGAGGCTGGATACTTCTCTTCTGCAAAGAAAATGGTAGATGTGAAGTTGCTAACAAGACTCTCTGGTTTACAGTTCTGAATCCCTGTGCAACTTTTGCTTAACTTTTGGGGAATACTTGCTCTGCAGGGCCAAACATGGGAGGAAAATCAACCTATATACGACAGACTGGAGTGATTGTTCTTATGGCCCAAATTGGATGTTTTGTGCCATGTGACTCTGCAGAAGTGACTATTGTTGATTGCATCCTGGCTCGAGTTGGAGCTGGAGACAGTCAGCTGAAAGGTGTATCTACCTTCATGGCAGAAATGCTGGAGACTTCCTCCATCCTTAGGTAAGAGCCATGACAACTTTTTTTGAGCAGGAAATGTGAAAGGTAAGACTGTTCCTCCAGGCTTACTGATCTGCCTCCTCTAAAGAACATATAGATAACTGTAAGTTCTATTCTACTTTAACGTACCTATTGCTACTGCCATCTTTCATTGGGCCACTTCTTTTTCTCCTAGCTATCTTGGTCCAATGAAGTTCCTGTTTGCCTTTGCTTTTGCTCCTATAGAAATCAATAGCTTTTTTCTACTTCTCTGTGCCCACTTTCAGAACTTTATCCTCTTCTATCTCCAATTAATTGCTTGCACAACTGATTTCTTGCACTAGAACTGCCCTTGTGCAAAAGGAAATTTTATTGGGCTAGGGATACCTCAAGGGTTTGTGACTGAACCACAAAATCACAGAAGCTTCTAGTTCAAACAGCCCAGTAAGCACAGAATACTGGCTGTTGCAGGGGGAAATGGAAAACCTGGGAACTGAACAAAAGAGAATGGAATGAGGCTGAAGCTCTGAACACTGCAAACTAGGCTTTGTTACAGCTTTCCCTTGTCCTGAATATAGTCTGCTTATACAAATCTGTCTGTTGGTTTAGATCAAATATACAGAGAATCTCTGCTTTCTATATAGAGATCTAGGGGAAATTCATTAGGTCACATTTTAGTGCAAACTTTAAAAATGTGTATTTCCAAACTGGCATGTGAATTGAAATGTGAATTTCTTGTGCATGTGCACATACACACAGAGAGAAATGTGTACATGAGGGGAAGATTCAAACAAAATGCACATATTGGTGGATATTATGCACACAAATACGTTACGAAAAACTGCTTCAAATTGTTCTGCTTTAAAAGTATCTTTTTTTCTTTTAGGACTGCAACAGAGAATTCCTTGATAATCATTGATGAGTTGGGAAGAGGAACATCAACATATGATGGATTTGGATTGGCCTGGGCAATCTCTGAATATATTGCCAGCAAAATGCAAGCTTTTGCTATGTTTGCTACTCATTTTCATGAACTGACAGCACTAGCTGATCAAATACCCACCGTAAATAACTTGCATGTTACAGCATTAACTACGAAGGAGACCCTGACAATGTTGTACCGTGTGAAAAAAGGTGAAATGCATTACTGAACTGGGAAAGAGAAAATCTGCTTTATTTTACTGTAGAATGAGTGACTGTTTCTTTGCAAAGCTGAAGAACAGTCTCAGATATGCTCTTTATAGGTTGCAAAATGTACATTCTTATATTTCTACTTTCTTTCTTTGATTTTGTGCAGATATGGCTCTTAGGTTGTGATCTAACTTACAGTATCTTTATGAGAAATGCCAGTTATTGAGCTACACTGATTTCAAGAGGTTCAAATGCAGAGTAGTTGATGAGATCTAACTACACAGTTGTTAGAAATGGAGAACAAGATAATAGAGGATAGTGATATAGAAATGAAGTTAAGTGATATAGAAGTTTCGTTAATTACAACTTTTAAAAATATATACCTAAAATTAAGAACACATATTAGCAGTGTTAAAAATATGAAAATATAGAAACTTAGAATTATTCTTCAGTTAGTCCCAAATTAGTCCCAACTTTTGGTAAGGAAGAACATAAATTTATAACAGCTTGGAAACAAAATAATGCATATCAGCTTGGATATTTATATCAGAATAACCAATCAAGTCAATAATAATTTGAAAGTTAGTATTTGTGCAGGATCATAATTTATCTTGGCTGTGTACTATAGGATTGTATATGCATTTGTTATTTATTATTTGTTTATAATTATTATCACTAAATTTTGAAATCATTAGGATGGTATTTTAATAAAATAAAATGTACAATAAAGTACAGAAAATTGACCAAATTGTAAAGATTGACTTGTAAATTACATTGCACATTATACATTGTACCAAAATAGAGAAGTTGTCAAATTTAATTTCAATCAGTTTGGAATGCATTTATCAACTATAAGGAATCTGGAGAATGTAATCTTACCCAGCATTTCAAAGGGTTGATTATTGTTGTCATAGACCTGTATATATGACAGTATCTTGATCTGAATGCATATTCTGCTCTTGCGTTGCATGGTCTTAAGTTATTAAGTTAACATTAAAATTAAAATGATTTCTTCATGATGTTTCTTCCAGGGCCTTGTGACCAGAGCTTTGGTATCCATGTAGCAGAACTGGCTGCCTTTCCCAAACATGTGATAGAGTGTGCCAAGGCCAAGGCTCTGGAATTGGAGGACTTCCAGAATATTGGAGTGTCTCAGGAGGAGGATGAAGAACCGGCTGCGAAAAGATGCTACAGAGAGAAGCAGGTTTGTTGAATTTTACTGTTTGCTTATTAAAACATCTATATTCTGCTTTCTATAATTCTTGGGGAATTATTGGCTAAGTTCATAATCATAATGTTATTTCATTTTGGCTTAGTGTGATGTGTCAACCCAACTATTGTGACTTGACAACAGATTTGTGCTTTAGATGGGCAGCCATACAAATCTTTTGAATAAACAAATAAAATTGTAGCTCATATTTAAAAGTAGTAATCTTGACTTGATCAAAAAGAAAAAAAAAGTGCAACCCTGAGTTGAAAATAAACAGCTTATCATGGCTTGTGAATTAAAAGTAGTTTGACCTAGAGAAGACGGGGTATAAGAGAGAAACATTTTGAAACAGAGAACATTGCTAAACGGGAATCTGGATTCTGGTTTCAGGCTGTAAGATTTCTTTATGAGGGAAATCTTAGGGAATCAGCAGCAGCCATTTCAACTTGTATGCTAATTTTGCTGCTCACCCTTTATTGAAGAAAATATTTGTTTGTTTGTTTGGGTGCTTGCAAGCAGGAAAGTCATCTCCTCCTTCTGTTGTTCCCCTGCAGCTGGTTTTTGGAGGCAACATCGAATCTTAAGACTTTAAGCTTTTGATAGACCTGTCCTCTACAAATGTATCTAGTCCTCCTTTAAAGCTTATGGCCATCACCACATCTTGTGGTAGAGAAATCCTGAAGTTAATTATGTGCTGTGTGAAGTGCTTTTGTCTATTCTAAATCTCTTTCTAGTCAGCTTTATTCGTAATTTCTCTCTCTCCATTTTCTCCATGCCATGCATAGTTTTATATGATGGCTGGTATGGGGCTTCCGGGCTGTGTGGCCGTGTTCTTGAAGGTTTGTTTCCTAACGTTTCGCCAGCACCTGTGACCGGCATCTTCAGAGTGCAGGAGCACAGACATGAGCATGTATACAGGGAAGATGGTTTAGAAATTAAGGCTGTGGGGCTAAATACATTGACTTTTAGCCATGGGGCTAAATACATTGATCTCCTTTTTAAATATTGACCAAATCATATGCCGCCTTCAGCTACTGCAGACATTTGCTATCTGAGCGAGTATGAAAGTGCATTTGTTCTCCTCACCCCACTTCTCTTGTCAGTTCCATTTGGAATCAACCTATTGTTCCAAGGGCTTATTAAATAAAATGGGTGTGTTTTTTAATATTGTTTCTAGCCAAAAATATTTTTTTACTAGAAAGTCGTAATTAAGGCTGTTTTAAGTGAACGTTCTTGGAGGGCTTGTGGGTGGCAGAAATTGAGTAAGAAGGGGCTTGGTTTTAGGACCTTCTCCACCTGGGATGTGGGTGGAATAAGACTTTTAATCAAAGAGCCGGTTCAGTAAACTGCTGCTGCTACTTCCACAGTATTTGTGCTCATGTGCCTCTGTTTTGCCAGTTGTCAAAGCACTGATCAATTGGCCAGGCAATTAGTTCTTTTAGTTCTTTCAGATCCAGAGACAATGAACACACCAGTAAGTAGGGAGATTTTAAGCTTTATTGTTAACTCTAGCAAACAGATTTAAACAGAAATACAAGAGCATAGTATAAAGCATAACATACCAAGCAAGATGATAAAACTCTTCCCCTACTGTCGAGAGCTACCATAAGGCAACATTGGAGAGACCCCAAGATGGTTTAGACAACACAGTACCTAGTCTCAAGGCCTGTGTCCATGCTCCAAATTCCAGAGACAATGCCAGGCTTTTTATTGAAGTCTGGCACTGCAATCCCATGACTCTCTTTTGGAGTCAGGGGCTCTGAAAGTAACCTTGACCAGATGTTATACTTGCTCATCAAAAAATTCCAGAGCCTGAGAACTGTATAGATAAGCTAGTGCTCAACCTAAACAGTCCTGAGGGTTTTCCTCCTCCCATCCCACACTTCTAAGTAAAAGTGAAAACCAAGCCAGCTAAACATTATTATGATTCAAAGCCTTCTTAATATGTGCAGGAGAAATCAAACTATGTCACCTAAACTCCTTGAAATAACAATGGTCTTCCGCATTGCCACTACAGCCTCTGCTGAAATATAAGAGAATGGGGAAGCAATCCTGATTGTGCACTAGTTCCTTTAAGACTTAAAGTTTAAGTAAATGTACAACTTCTAAATAAATGTTTTCCTTACTCCTTTCACTGTGGTACTACTTCTCGTTTAAATAGCCATAGGAAAAATATTGAAGAATTATGAATAAACATAAAAGATTCCTTCTGGTATTTTTCTTTATAGTTGCCTTGGAGGAAAGTGTGTTATTTAACTCTAGGTTCAATAAATTGAACTACAGGTAGTCCTTGCTTAATGACTATTGGTTCAGCGACCGTTCGAATGGTACTTACGTCTGGTCCTTGAAGTTATGGCTGTTGCAGCACCCCCACAGTCACATGATAAAAATTTGGGTGCTTGGCAGCCCTCTTGCATTTACTACTGCAGGATGCACTTCAGGACCCTACATCTACCTATTTCCCCACCATCTCTGCCCTTTTGGCTGCCCTACGCTCTGCCCTGCACCCCCGCTGCTCTGCCCTCCGCCCTGACCCCTGTCACCCTGCATTCAGGAAGGCTGTGCGAGGCCAGCAGCTGCCTCATGAAGGACCAGATTGGGCATGCCTCATCAGCAATGGGAGGAAGAATATGGCCTAATGATCACAACTAGGGTTACCAAAATTGCTGTTGCTAAGTGGTGTGGTCATGTGATGTTCTGTATAATGACCGCATTGCTTAGTGATGGAAATTCTGGTCTCAATTAGGGTTGTTAAGCAAGGATTACCTGTAGTTAAAGTTCAATAAAACATTAATGTCTGAATCAGGGAAATGCCATGTAGATTGGATGTTTTCTATGTATGCTGGAATTCCCATTATGCTGAAAGTGTTGATTTCAAATGCTGGATCAATATATGTCATTAATTATATTGTTCAGTTATTGAATAAAAATAAACAAGGTGTTTAATCCTTTTTTTTTTTTTTGGTAGTACCCAATACATAAGTCTGGTACTGAAACTCAGCATTTGTGACAATTAAAAAGTTGCTGTTCTTAGAACTGGCAGAAATTAACAAATTAAATCAGGAGTGATCTTTTCAGTACCTGGTTGTCACCACACTGATAGCTCAGATATCCCAAAACAAGGTCTGTCTATATACAGGTAGTCCTTACTGACTGACTGTCTCATTCAGCAACCGTTCAAAGTTACGATGGTGCTGAAAAAATGACTTTATGACTAATGCCTGCATTTACAACCTTCGCAGTGTCCCTTAGTCATGTGATCACCATTACAGTCAGTACATGTTGTCCTGTGCCTGACCTGTTGTCCCCCCCCCTTTGCAGAGTGGAGAGATTGGAGAGGAAGGGATTACAAGAGAGTAAGCAGGCATACAATGGGGAATACACATTGAAAGGAATGCAGTGGTGCTGGCAGCCCCGAGCACACTTGAGGCTGGGAGCCAAGAGCGTGCTACACAAATAGCCTTTTTTCCTGTTTGTGTGCTTCCTTACTCTCTTGTAATCCCTTCCTCTCCAAGCTCTCCACTCTGCAACTGGGGAAGAGAAAAAATGGGTCAGGCACAGGGGAGATTGCCTACAGAAATCGTTTGGGGTTCCTTCCCTTCCCTTCCCTTCCCTTCCCTTCCCTTCCCTTCCCTTCCCTTCCCTTCCCTTCCCTTCCCT